ACCTCAGCCAGGTGATCCACGTGAATGTCACCGTGAAGAGTCAGGCTGATGGCATGTGCCCTGGGTTTGGTGTGACAAGCAGGCTGCTTCACCTCTGTGTTCCTCCCTAAAGCTGTCACCCCCAGGCCAGCCTTGAAAAAACACGAGACAGGGGCGCCTGGGTGGCTCAGTAGTTAAGTGTGTGCCCTCGGTTCAGGTCACCATCCCAGTATCCTGGGATCTAGCCCCGCCTCAGGCTCCCTGCTGGGCGGGAAGCCTGCTTCTCCCTCTCCCACTCCCCCTGCTTGTGTTCCCTCTCTCACTGTGTCTCTCTGCCCACACCTGACCGGTTCTCAACATTGCCCCGGTCATCAACAGCAAGAAAATCCGAGAAACTGTCTCCGCCCAGAGGAGTCTCAGGAGGTCTGAGGACTGTATGTAACGTGCAGTCTGGAGGCAGAGAAAGGATATTAGGGAAAACAGAGAAAATCTGAATAATGCATGGACTTTAATAATAATGTCCTGGAAGCACCTGGAGGGCTCAGTCGGTTGGGTGTCTGCCTTTGGCTCAGGTCAAGATCCCAGGGTCCTGGAACACCTGGGGGGCTCCTGGGTTAAAGCCTCTGCCTTCGGCTCAGGTCATGATCCTGGGGTCCTGGGATCGAGCCCTGCATCGTGCTCTCCGCTCCGGGCCTGCTTCTCCCTCTGCCTGCTGCTCCTCCTGTCAAATAAATAAAATCTTAAAAATAAATAAAATAAAAATAAAATATAATGTCCCAGTATCAGTTCACTCATTGTAACAAATGTTTCATATTAATGTAAGGTGTTAATAATAGGGGAAGTTAGGTGTGGGATACACAGGAATTCTGTACTATCTTTACAATAATTCTGTAAATCAAAAACAGCTCTAAAATAAATAATTGATTAAAAAAAAAAAAGTCTATAATTGCCATGGGAGCAGAGACTTTTCTGGGCAGCGGTGGAGGCAACAAGAGGTCCAACTAAGAAGCCAAGACAGCCTGTAGGCCTGGCCTTGGGCCATGGAGGGGGATACAGGAAAATGGACAAAGTGGGGTGTTTTGGAGACACAGGATCAGCAGGACCAACGTGGAGGACGGGAAAAGAAGACTGTGGGACTCCAGAGGCCCATGCTCCTGGGCTGCCCTTGCTAAGCAGTGGACAACAGTGGAGAAGCAGGCCTGGGGCGGGGAGGTCACCCCAGTGTTGGAATGGAGGGTTGAATGGCAGGAGCGTTGTATAAATCTCATTTATGGGGGCCCAGGTGAGGGAGATGGAAGCTTTTCTGATTTGTGACAAGACAGCATTCTTGGGGTATTTCTTCCCAGTCCTGGGGCCAGATCCCAAGACTGCCTTCAAGGATGTGGACTTGCTGTGTGGCCTCCTGGCAAGTTCTTGTCTTCCCGGTGTCTGTTTCTCCACCTGTAAAATGGGAATCGATAACGTCCCGCCCACAAGTTTTGGGGGGGGGGGACAGCACATGAGCCCAGTTTAGTGCCTGGCACACAGTGGGACCTCAATAAACTGTGATCACCCCTTCCCCCTCCCTCTGGGTCTCAGGTGGCAGAAGACGAGCCTGCTACTTTAACTTATGCAAATACACTGCGGGTGGTGGAAGGAGGGGTAATAAAAAGCCTGGTTTCTGGATCAACCAATCAGCTCGCGGGACTGAAGGAGCTTCTAAATGGCCCAATGGCTGGCCGCGCGTACTCCAAGCCCGCCCCTGCCTCCGGGAGGCGTCTTGTGGGTGGGGACTCTCGACGCCACGCCCCGAGGGCGGAGCCAGGCGGCAGCCGCGCCGCAACCGCGGAGGTAGGGGCGGGGCGGGCTCGGGTGTCAGAGACCGAGCTGCAGGTGGCGGCGGGCGCGGGGCTCGGCCAGAGCTCGGGAGGTGAGTGCTGTCCCCGGGACCCCCCCTAGTATCCTGGCCCGCGCAGCCCCTCATGCACACCGCGCCCGGTAGCCCCGGAGGCCACTGGGGGCAAAGGCGCGGCGGGGCACGAGGGATGGCGAACTGGGGGTGGGGGGCTGCGCGGTGGGCCCCCCGGCCTCCCAGCGGCCATCGTCGACGGTCTTTGGAGGGAGATAGGGACCCCTCTCCACGTCCCCCGTCCCCTGGCCTAGAACCAGAGCGTGCAGGAGGGTGGCTATGACGTGAGACCCCTCCCCAAATCCCTTTATTCTAAGCCTGGATCTGGGTGTAGGTTACAGGGTTCAAAAAATGGGGGTGCCGCTCTCCCTCCAGTCTGGGACCCAGGACAGCCGAAGTGGAAACCACTCTCAATTTCCCTCTTTCCAGCTCTGGTCTGCAGACCCCTGAGGACCGAGATGGAAGGACCCCCTTCCCTTTTTTCTCCACTGTGAACCCTGATCAGCCTGGAGGAGGAGCTGGGGGTCCCCGGGCCCCTCTTCTAGACTGCTCTGTCCCAGTTTCTTACTGCCAGGATGAGGTGGGGGGTGTTTTACTGGCATCTTCGGCAGGGACCCCCAAAGTTGTAATTCTGGGGAGGGGGCCAGTGTTGGGCCCTTTGCCTGACAGGGCCTGGCCAGGCCAGGCCTGAAAGGGCCCGGAGCATGGACTTGGGGGTGGTCCCTGCCTCAGTGGGGGGTGGGCAGCAGCATCTGTTCTTGGGGATTAAAATAAATCGAGGTAAATTAGGATCTTGCGGGAGGCTGGCTGCGAGTGGGGTGCGGAGGAGGGTTGTGGGGTGGGCGGCCCCTCCATCTGTCTCGAAGCTGGGAGTTGCCTGCCCCAGCCGCAGTGGGGACCAGGAGGCAGCTTTGATGGACCTGCCTCACTGGTGACCTTGGGCAGGTGACAGCACCTCTGAGAGCCTCGGTGTTCTCCTTTGAAAATGGGGATGAGGGCTTCAGAAGCTGTATTCTACAGATTCTGAAACCCACACACCCCATCATATGCCAAACTCTAACTGCCCCCTTCGCTTAAGCTGTCAGTGGCTTGGGGGTGAGAGGGCAGTGGGTTTGGAGACCCCCCTGACTTGCCTTGCTGGCCTCCGAGCCTCAGTTTACTGCACTGCAAAATGGATTTGTGGTCACTCTGGCCTTGCTGGAAAGGCTATTCTCCCAGACAGTAAGACACATTACCAAGCTGCAATGGTTGAAACAGGGGCTCCACTACCCTGGTCTTACCAGTGGGACTGCCTGGGGCACACCCTGACCCATATATTGTCACCCACGCCAGGAGTGAGCCAGTTCCTGGGTGGGGTCGCGGGTAGGAGGAGGTCGAAGCCACCAGGCCAGCCTATCCGACACCCCCAGGTTCAAATGGATTCTTCCCATGTGTGGCTTTGCCTCCCCGGGCCTTGGTGTATTCTTCTATGGAATGGGCTGGATCCCCCTTGGAAGATCAGAGGAGATGTGGGAAGATGGGTGCCCTGTAAATACAGACATGGTCATTAAAACAGTAATCACAATATCAGTGATCGTAAATGGGGTCACAGCTGACCGGGAGCAGGGAGGAGAGAGAGGAGTCGACCAGGGTGTTGCCAGCCGTGTCTCTAGAGCCCGGCAATTAGGTACACAGTCGGTGCTCAATAAGTGTTTGCCAAATAGATGACAAAGAGGGAGGTGCCTAGTTGGGGAGGATGGAAAAATTCCTGAGCTTGACAGCCTGGTCACTGTGTGACCTGGGCCATGTGCCTCAGTTTCCCCATGGGGGTGAGGGCCAAGATGAGACACTGCCTCAAAGTGCCATTGTAAGAATCAAGCCAGACTGTGTAAAGGTCACTCACTGGTACCTGGGCCTAGAAGAGAGGAGGCTCATGAGAGGACAGGTCATTGAAACAGCATGGCCAAGAGGCTGGCTAGTGCCTGGGAAGGAAGAGAAAAATCTCAGACTGGCCCCACCGTGCACAGGCTGGAGTCTGGGGGAAGTAAAATGTCAGGGACTGTTTCACAGGACCCTGGAGGCGCCGAGGTCAGGGGAGGCCCAAGGTCACAGCATGCGAGGTCAGGGGCTCTGGACAGGTGGCTTAGAGCCAGGGAGCTCTGCCGTCTTTGCTGACTCCATCCCTGTCTTATTCTGTCTGCTCCCTGGGCCTGCTCACATGCTCCACCGGGTGCAGAGCTGTGGGTTTTTGGGATTTGGTGCTGGGGAAGCAGGATCTCCAGGCAGTGCCTGAGCCTGGTGTCAGGCACCCCCTGGAGGACTCTCCTCTGGTCTGGGCAGCTGACAGCCTGCTGTGTGACCTTGGGCAAGTCCCTGTCCATCTTTGGGCTCTGCCCTGGTGCTCTGGAGGCCCAGAGTCCTGGGTTCGAGCCAAACGATTTTCTCCATCAGATACAGAGGCGACTGTGTCTTGGACATAACATTTTCAGAGGCCCATGATGAGCTTTGGGGTAAAGGAATACATTTTAATACAGAATATTAATATATTCATCTCTGTGCCAATGTAATTTGTAACATATAGTTTAAATGCTTTTTTTTTTTTTTTTTTAATTAGAGGAAGGGGGCCCATGAAAGTTTTCATGCAGCCCTAGGTTTGAGTCTCGGCTGTACAGACATGAGCCTATCCACTCCCCTCTCTGAGCCTCGGTTCCCCCTCCGTGAAGCAGGAATCCTTAACCCACCCCCAGGGGTGGTGGGATGTGGAAAAGGTTAGCCCGGGACAGATGCTGTGTGTCGCCTGCTATTATTTCATCATTGTCATCATGATTATTATTTGCTAGGTCCCAGGCTGGGGGCCCCAGGCTCAGGTGCCTCAGTTTACCTATCCATGGCCAGCCCAGTTCCCAGGAAGTCCCAGGGGTGCTGGCCTGGTGGGGGAGGTGAGATGGCAGTTGGGCGGTAGGCGGGGCAGGGTAAGCTTCCTGTCCCCCACGCACACAGGCCTCCGCCGGCTTGGTGCTCACGGAAGTGGCAAGGGCCTCGTGGCCATCTCCTGGTGCCCACCCCGTGTGTGAGGGGCCCCAGCTCTACTCGCTGCCCTGTCTGGTGAGTTCCAGCCCTGTCTGGAGGCCCCCATTGCCCTTCCTTGCCCCTCTCAGGAACAGAAGCCTCCCCCCTCCCCACCCCCTGCCTGGCTGGGGTTTCCGAGGGAAGCAGCAGGTGTCATTTCCTGGGCCAGGCAGGAACCTGTGGGGGGGAGGGGGGAGCCACTCTTCACTCTGGCCCCCTGCCCTCCATTACGGTTCTGAGTGATGGGGCTGGCCGTGGGGCAGTAGAGGGGACACGGAGACCCAGAGCCACCTGCAGTGGTTCCAAACAGAAGTTCTTTGGCAGACAGACCAGGGACAAAATCACAGTGACCCCAGGTCAGTGAGTTACTTCTCTGTGCCTTAGTTTCCTCATTGGTAAAGGTGGGACTGGACCCCATGGTGTGGCTATGAAGGATGAATGAGCTGGTACCTGTTGGGGGGTGTCGGCTACAGCGCCGCACACATACTGACTTTCAGTATATAGTGGGGGAGGGGCCGTCTACCAGAGTTGTGAAAACTGTAGTGAGATCCCCGGTTTCTGGGGAACTTGGGCCCACTGGTTCTTCAGATTCTCTAAGAAGCATCTTCCTGCAGAACTTTCCTTACCTGTGTGGTCCAATATGGCAGCCACCAGCCCCGTGAGGCTACTGAGCCCTGGAGCAAGGTTGGTCCCACTGAGGAGGTGGGGAGTTCATGGTATTTAATTTTACTTAGTTTAAAATTAAGTCAGCACATGAGATTAGTGGTTCCCATATCGGTCAGCTCAGCTCTAAGGGATTTGGATATTCTCAGGGCCTAAATCCCGGCCAGAAATGAAGACATGAGATGGGAATTGAGGGCTTTTTCCCCTTCGGTTGTCAGCACAGCATGCCCTCCCCCCACACACCAGAGTTTCTTCAGGGACAGGGTCAGTGACAGTTTTCTCAGGGGCCCCAACATCACACAGCCCAGGGTGGTCATTGGGAATATTTGTGGAATCAAATAATTTTTTGCCTGGTGAACTCCTATTCATGCTTCAACCCCCCAACTCCCATGCCCACTCCTTTGGTCCAGGCTCCCACAGCCCCTTCTTCCATTTGGCCTAGCCCTGAGCCTGCAAGGCTGGTATGTCTGCGTCTAGCTCTATGCCCCTAGACTGGGGGCTCCTCAGGGACCAGACCCAGGAGTGAATCATCTCACAGACTCTGACATTGTCCTTGTCTTGTGGATACATAGTGGTTGCTGGGTAACTTATAGAAGTCAACGAACCTGGGCCTAGAGGACAATGGTTCAAATTAAAATCACTTTCAAGATTAGGTAAACGGAGGCTCAGTGAAGGCAGCATTGTCCGAGGTCCTTGCTTGGTCCTTTCCTTGTGAGACCCAAGGAGTTTTCCCATTTACGGTCACCAGCCCTGTCCCTGCTGCCACTGTGCCTCCAGGGCTCCCAGCTGCTGCTGAGCTGCCCGAGGGGTCATGAATTATGGATGAGGCCTGTGGGCTCCTGTGACAAGCCCAGCCTCTAGAACGTGCCAAGGACACCAAGTGTCCCTCCCTTGCCAGGCGGCTTGGCCCAGCCCCCTCTGCAGGGAGGCCTGGATTCCCCCAGCAAGACCCCTTCTAGGCATTCCCTCTTGTTTTGCAGATGGGGAAACTGAGGCACAGAGCTGGATAGAGTGACTCAGATATCAGGTGAACACTGGCTTCTGGGAGTCAGGGTTGGGACTCATGGGGTCACCATTGCCAGATGGGTCATCATGGTGAGGGGTAAGCTCTCCGTTCCAGGAGTGTGCATGGGGCGGGGACTGTTGTAGAGGGATTGGGGAGATCCCAAGGGATCCTTGGGGGCACTTCAGGGACCCCAACCCCCATGTGGCTGATCACAGTCCCAGTGCCCATCTCTCAGCAGACCCTTTCCCCACAGGAGCTGCCCAGCGTGGAGCCGAGTGCTCCAGTCTTGATTCAGCTTGCCCAGGGTGCAAATCTACTGGCATTTCCTGTCTCTGTGACCTTGGCAAGTGGCTTCCCCTCTATGGGGGTGAAGGGGAGGGTCTCGGTTTCCCATCTGTGAGATTTTCTGCTTAGGCTGGAGCTTATCCAGTACTCTGCCCCCCAGTGAACTCTTATTTGAGCTTGAAAACCCCAACTCCCATGCCCCTTCCTCTGGACTAGGCTCCCCAGCCCCTATTCCTCTATTCAGTCCAACTCTGACCCAATAGAACTTGGGGCATCTCTATCCAGATCTGTCCCCCTAGAATGGGGGCTACTTGGGGGCCAGGCCTGGGGATGAATCATCTCATGGGCTCTGGCATGCTCCCAGCTTTGGGGCTTTTAGTTCCTCCTCCATCCTCTCTCTTCCTCCTCCACGAGGAGGACAATTGGAATTTCCCCTCCTTAGACCCAAGCTGGCCATAGCTTTAGATTTGCTTCTCTCTTTGGACAGGCACTAAACAGGAGCCTGTGGGGGTCTCCACAGAGGGCATCAGGATGTCGTATTTTGGGGAGCATTTTTGGGTAAGTAAGACCCACTTTTATTTTGATGGGGGCTTCTGGAAGGGCTATGGGGCATTTTATGGAGATGAGGGGACTTGGCGGCTCAGGGGCAGAGCCTTGGACAGGTGAAGGTTCTGTGACTCATAGAAATTAAAGTGGGAGGAGTCAGGCTGGGTTTGAATCTACACCCTCCCACTTCATGGGCCTTGTGACCTTAAGCAAGTCACAGCTTGAACAATGGGGAGACTAAGGCCCAGAGTAGGATTCTTTTATTTCAAATTGCCCGGTGAGACAATGCAGCATCAGGGCTCCAAGCCGGGCCAGAGTGAAATTCCAGGATCCAGGGTCATTTCAGCCAGGGAATTTCCACATCTTTCCCATCCTGGAGAGTTGGGGGTTTTCTTGACTTGGCCCCTAGTGGCTGCCTCACCCCCTGCCTTCCGGTCTGAGGAGCACATACTGTGACCCAAGAGGGCTGAGACAAACTTGTTTTTTCATTCATTCAGTCATTCCCTCCCTCCCTGCCACTACCAGTCCACACCCAGCCAACTGTGGAAGGTGCCATGAAGCCCCCAAGAGGCTTCATCCTGACTCTGACCCCGAGGAGCTCGCAATCTGGGAGACATAGAGCCAGTCAGAAGTCTTTAGCCTTCCAGGGTCAGGGCTGGGCTCAGCCTTGGGGGCAACCAGAGGAGGGGTCAGGACACAGAGCTATGTTTCCTCTGGGCTTTGAGGGCTGAGATTTTCCAAGATGTAAGAAAGGCATTTCAGCAGGGGAAATAGCCTGAGCGAAAGCCCAGAAGTGTGACATGAGTGACCAGTTGAGGGCACAAGGACTCCTCTTACAGGCCCAGGCGAATGGAGAGCCACAGAGGGTGTATGAACTGAAGGGTCTAGGAAGGACCAGGGCTGTAAGCCCCTTCCCCAATTGGGCCCTGAGCTTGCCGGAGAAGAAGCCTGTTGCTAGGCAACTGGTTGCCCCTGGCAACAGGCCTATTCCCTCCCTTTCTCCCTCCCCAGCTGGGGCTCCTCTTACTGCCACTTGTTTTCTTAAAGGGGCCTCACCCCCTTACCACCTGCAGGGAGGGCTGTGGGGCGAGGGCAGAGGGGGGATGGGGCCTGACCTCCACCTTCTGCCCAAGGGTCAGATTCCCTGGATTTGTCTCTGAATGTGTGACCCCAGCAAGGGGTGCTCCTCTCTGAGCCCCCTTTTGGTGCTTCTAGGTAAGGGGGTTGACTATTCGATGATCAATTTGTTGCCTACGTTTTGGAACCCTGACAATGGCACGTACATTTATTTTAAAATCTGTTTGATGGCGTGAGGCACCTACATTTATTTTAAATTCTTTTTAATTGCATGAGGCATGCAAGCCTGCTGCAGAAAATTCAGATCAGCAGAGAGAAAATAGAAGCCACCCACAGTGCACTCCCCACCCAAAGATAGCCTGGTGCAGAGTGGATAAGGCTTTGAGTTGAGGATTTGATCTGGGCTCTGCTGAGAGCCCTTGGGCAAGTGATTTTGTGTCAGCAAGCCTCAGTTTTCCCATCTGAGAAAGGGGTTGAATTTCCTGTCTCCCTAGGTCTCAGGGAGTATCCTAGATACTCAGGGAGTATCCTCAGGGAGTATGTCTGTCACTGGCAATGTTTCTTTTAACCAATTGTTTGTATTGGTGACTCTTTAGCTGGGTGGCACTGGTGCCCTGGCTGGCCTGAAAGAGGTTCCAGTTAGGGGACATCAAGCTGGATAGGGATGCCCCCATCCTGCTGGGCCAAGGCAGGAGACCTTGAGGGTACTGGGGATCCATGGGGGAAGTATGAGCAGGAGAGGGATACGATCAAGCTGTGTTAGAAAGATCCCTCTAGGGCTGGCATAGGGGCGAGACTGGAGTCCAGAGTTTCTGATAAGAGACACAGACCCAAGACAGCCCCTCCTGAGGCCCTCGCTGCCAGCACAGCCTGAGAGAGGCAGATACCACTGGGGGCCTTGCCAGGTCTGGGAAACAGGCCAGTGGTTGGCTCCAAGTCAGCCCCAGATGCTGGCCTGGGCGGCAGTGCCTGGTGCAGCCTTACCCGAGGATCCCCTGGGTGGGGTTGGGGGGGGTGGCACTGGGTCTGTTTGCTGAGCCCTCACCATGGTGCTGGAAGCCCTGGGTTCAACACTGTCCCAGCGTCATCTCACAAGACCTTTCGGAGGTGGGTACTGTCATTGGCCCCCTTTGTCAGATGAGGAAACCGAGGCTCAGAGAGGGGAAATCACCAGCTCAAAGTGACCCAATGTATAAAAGGAGGCTCTGACACATATTCCTGGGGAGCTAGAAGGAGCAACCCTGAACATTCAGGAAAGTGAGGGTCTGAGATAATTCTTGAAGGGGGTGGGCCTGGAAATGATCCTTGAGAGGTGGAAGGATTTGGATGGGTGGGAAGAGATGTCACCTGGTGAGCTGGTTTGCACGAACAGCCTAGGCAAATGTACTGTGGTAGGAAGGCACAGCCTGTCTTTGCACTCCTTGCCATTTTATGGCGAGGCCAAGAGGACTCTGGGAGATGAGGTTGGAAAGACAATTTCAAGCTAAGGGCTTTACACTTAAGCAGCTGGTGGGAAATAGGGAGCTATCAACGATTCTAGAATGAGGCATGACCTTTGGGAGATTTGAGCTTCAGGCTGGGTTGGGTCTGCCTGTCTGAGCCTCAGTTTCTCCATTTATGCAGCAAGAGGCGTTATCTTGTTATGACTTCTAGTTTCAGCCTTCTGGTTTCCAGGTAAGTGAGAGGGTAAACTCAGCAGGTTGGAGGAAGATGGAGGAAACCACTATTAATCACTTCAGTGATTTGTGTTGGACATTAAATAATGCTAGATTGCCCCACAAGCATCTTCTTTTGGTCCTACTCACAAGGCCCTGTTTGGTGCTAAGATGTCTCAGTTCCCCAGCTGATCTCCCTTTTTGATGAACAGCTCAGTGTTCAGACGTGATGCCTTTCACATGTCACAGGATCTGGCTGGGATAAAATTAGTTGTTGCCTTATTTTTCCCTATTCCTTTCATTATGGCATCAGGTCCAGGGCTTCCAATTAGAATAGTGGTAAAAGTTGCCTTTTTAAGTCAACATATTTGGAGAAGAAATGAGCAAAGTTAACACAAAATGTTAACTAATACCATTAATCAGCAAAAACTAGGGTTGCCTTTGGGAATTTGGGGAACCCTGATGTGGATCACCTTGGTGTTTACTTCATCTTCATATGAATGGTGGATGACTTCCCTGTCCCATCTTAACATGAAGCCACTAAAACTTCAGAGAGGGACAGTAACTTGCTCAGATCACACAGCACAGTCCTTGTGTCCCCCACCATGATGACCCCAGGACTGGGAGGAAAGAGGTTTGGTGGGAGGCACCCGGATAGAGGCACTCTTCCCAAAAGCCCTAGGTGACAGCAGAATAGCTCATTTGTTCATTTATTCCACAAACTCCAATCCCCTTTTTGGCCTCACCCTATACTGGACATTGCTGGGTCCCAAGAGAGGCATCAGACCCAGACTGTGCTCTAGGGGGTCTCAGAGAGGGTGTTTTTTTGTTAAAGGGAAATACAAAACAGAGACTTAACCAAGAAGGGTTATATTGGCTCACAAAGGTGAAATGTTGTAGGGAAATGCGGCTTTCAGGCTTGGTTTGTTCCAGTAACTCGACTCAACGTACTTTTTATTCAGACTCCATCAGGTTCAGCTTCTTTCCCAGTATCATGGTTTCCACGTGGCTTCCAATATCTTCTATGCTCCCATAATTCCTCATTTATGGAAAGGCGCAGACAGAAAAGCTGGGTAAGAGATTGACTGAGACAGAAACAGAGGCAAAAAGACACAGAGAAACATAGACAATGAAACAAAGGAACAGAGACAACCCGCGGAAGAGAACATCTCTCCCTCAACCATGAGACAAAACCTCCAGGCTTCTCTCTGATTGGGCCAACGTAAGGCCCATGAACCAATCCTTGTGACCAAGGGGATAGGCCACAGGCTGATTGGCTCAGGCCTGAAGCAATCCCTGCTGCCAAGGGGTTGGGCTTCTGCTGGTTGGCTCCTCCGGCCACGCCCCCATTGCTAAGCAACCGTGAGGTCTCCTCCAGCCCTTTACTCAGTCTCTGCCCCCATCCCCTGCAGGGTGAGAAGAACCATGGCTTTGAGGTCCTGTACCACAGCGTGAAGCAGGGGCCTATCTCCACCAAGGAGCTGGCCGACTTCATCCGGGAGAGGTGAGGTCCCCACGCTCCGCCCACCCCTGGCCACGCCCCATAGTCCCCCGCAGCCTCCCCTACCTCGTGGCTCCGCCCTGGCTCCTCCACACCTCTCCCCTGCCCAAGCCACTACAACCACTCCACACCCAACCTGCTTGAACGTCCTGGAAACCAGGGGTTCTCAGCACTGTCAGCCCCGATGCCCGACTGTCAACCATTCTCAGGTTTCTGACGCCTCCTCTTGAAGAGATGATATGACCTACTTACAAGGGGAATTTTGAAAACTCAGTTTCATACATAGAACACATGTATGATGAAGTCATCTCCATTCTGGCCCATAACTGCTCCGACATCCATATCCCAGAAAACATAATACATTCAAACTGTCAGACAGCCTTCTGCATCCCGGCCGCTCACTAGCTGAACGCCCATTAAATCCAAGCAGAGTTCAAAAGATTATAACCAGGTTTTTCTCTCTGTGGCTGTTTCGCAAGACCTGTCCAAGCTGTACAGGACAGAGGCATCGTTTTGAGAGCTACTGCTCAACATTTGAGATGAGGAAACTGAGACCCAGGGGGATGGAGTGTCTCCCAAGGAGGCCCAGAACCTTCTGCATCTTTTCTCTGTTCTACTTAGGGCCACCATCGAGGAGACCTACTCAAAGGCAATGGCAAAACTTTCCAAACTGGCCAGCAATGGGACCCCCATGGGGTGAGTGGGCTGGAGCTGGGGTGGGAGGTCACTGAGGCTGCAGGGTCCTGGGGTATCAGGAGCCCACTCTTGGGTGGACATCTCTTCACACAAGTGAAGAGACTAGGGAGTCAACCCTCCCCCACTTAAGGGGCTCAATAGACAGAGGAATGTCATTCATTCATTCACTTACTACCTCATTCATTCATTCAACTCGTATTTACTGAGTACTTACTATGTGCCAGGTGCCATTCCAGGTACTCGAGACACAGCAGCAATCAAGACAGATAAAGCCCCCAGTCCCCTTCATGCTGTGTTCATGCCATGTTACCTGTGGGGTGTGTGGCAAAACAGGTGTTAACTACAAACATGAACAAAAGTCCTTTCCTAGAGTGAAAAGCTTCAGGAAGAGGATGAAATAGGAGCGTGAGAGGTCAGGTGCTTCCTCTGGCGCTGGGCTTGGTTCCATGAGCTGAGACCTTAGTAATGAGATGGAGCCAGCTACAGGGGTATCTGGGTCGAGACCTGGGAAGGCAGCTCAGCCAGTGCAAAGGCCCTGAGGCATCGATAGATTCTGCCTGTTAAGGAAGAGCAAAGAGGCTGGCATGGCTGCAGGGCCTGGGTGCCCTTGAGTATCAGCTAGGGCCTGGAGTCCAGAGTGAGGACTCTAGGGCCTTGGGTTTAAATTCCACCTCTGATAATTCATTTCCAAAGGGGCCTTGGGTGAGCTGTGGAGGCTCCTATGCCTCTGTTTCCCCATCCGTCCCAGGCCTGCCTTGTAGTTGTGGTGCAGGTGCTTAGCAGGGTCTGGGCACAGTAGGTGCCCCTCTGAGGGGACCCTGGGGGGTTGGGACTGATGGACCCTGGGTGTGCCCTGTTTCCAGGACCTTCGCCCCGCTCTGGGAGGTCTTCCGCGTCTCCTCAGACAAGCTGGCACTCTGTCATCTGGAGCTGACCCGGAAGCTACAGGACCTCATCAAGGATGTGCTCCGCTACGGCGAGGAGCAGCTCAAATTGCACAAAAAGGTGTGTGCTGGGGGTACTGCGCAGCCAGGCAGAGAGGGGGATGGCAGCGGCTGGAAAGATCTGGGAACTTCTGGGGCTTTTGACCTTCCTGCTTCTGGTGTGTTCCTCTGAGAAGTCTGTCAATTCCACATCAAACCCAGACTCCCACATACCTGAGTACCCTCAAATTTTCATACTCAAAACTCTGGACCAGGGCTCTGCGAACGATGGGCAACAGACCAAATCCAGCCTGGTTTTGTAGAGCCCGAGAGCTAAGAATGGTTTTTACATTTTTAAATGGTTTGTGGCGGCGGCGGCGGGGTTGTGGGGGGGTGTGCGGCGCAGGGGGAATCAAAAGAAGAAGAAGATTTCATGGCAGGTAAAAATTACATGACCCTGTGCTTGCTTCGGCAGCACACATATTAAAAATTACATGACCCTTGGATTTCAGTGCCAATAAATAAAGTTTTGTTTTTTTTTTTGGCCCAGAGCCATACCTATTCCTGTTTAAAAAGGGAGTTGGGGGCGCCTGGATGGCTTAGTTAAATGTCTGCCTTCGGCTCAGGTCATGATCCCAGGGTCCTGGGATTGAGCCCCGAATCGGGCTCTCTGCTCAGCAGGGAGCCTGCTTCCTCCTCTCTCTCTGGCTGCCTCTGCCTATTTGTGTTCTCTGTCAAATAAATAAATAAAATCTTTAAAAAATAAATAAGTAAATAAAGTCTTTTTTTTTAAGATTTTATTCATTTATTTGACAGAGATCACAAGTAGGCAGAGAGGCAGGCAGAGAGAGAGAGGGAGAAGCAGGCTCCCCGCTGAGCAGAGAGCCCAATGTGGGGCTCGATCCCAGGACCCTGGGATCATGAGCTGAGCCGAAGGCAGAGGCTTTAACCCACTGAGCCACCCAGGTGCACTAGTAAATAAAGTCTTTAAAAAGAGAGAGAGAGAGATCATGACCTGAGTCAAAATCAAGAGTCAAACTCTTAATTCACTGAGCCACCCAGGCATCCCTACCATGATTTTTTTTAAACTGGGGGACAAGGAGGGGGTGCCCAGTATGGAGGCTACTTAAAAAAAACTGGGGGACAAGGGAATTTTCTGTGGGTTGATACAGAATAATTTTGGGAATAGATTATTAAGCTGAAAAAGCTGAGTTAAACAGACATTGTACCTATCTGTCATTTAAAAAAATAGGCTAGAACAAACACATTTGCTTGTCTATGTGCCGATTATTTCTAGAGACCTATGACTCCCAGGCAGAGGCCTGGGAGGCTGGGGATCAGGGAGTGGCTAGTTTTTCCTGAGCTCATCCCTTAAAACTTTCTGCAGTAGGAATGCTATGTAAATATTTCCTATTCAAAGAGCGAAAAGTTTTGAAATTAATAGGATACTCATAAAAGGTACTCTGTGGGATCGGGAACCCCACAGAGTGTTTGGGAAGCTCGGAATTTCACGTTGTGCCCCTGTGGTCTGCTCAGGTCGTGCACCCCGGAGCGGTGCGGTGCGGTGCGGGCTTCAGGTGCTACCGGCACTCCCCCTTTCCCACCCCTGCAGTGCAAAGAGGAAGCCGTGGGTACCCTGGATGCTGTGCAGGTCCTCACAGGTGTCAGCCAGCTCCTGCCCAAGTCCCGCGAGAACTACCTGAACCGCTGCATGGACCAGGAGCGGCTGCGGAGGGAGAACACCAGCCAGAAGGAGATGGACAAGGTGGGCACACCCATCATAGGTCCCCAGCTGCCCTGCACCCTTGCAGGTCCAAGCGATGTGCCCAGGGGTGGTGGGGCTGCCTTTGGGAGTATGAGAACATAACCCAGAGCATTGGCCATGGAACCTTCATCACACCCTGGGCGCACCAAGAAGTCTACCTGCTGGATGATGGGTCCCTGGGGGGCGAAGAAATGCCCCATGTGTCCCCTCCTGCCCCTATCTCCTCCCTCTGCCTCGTAGGCAGAGACGAAGACGAAGAAGGCAGCACAGAGCCTGCGGCGCTCGGTGGAGAAGTACAACTCTGCCCGCGCTGACTTTGAGCAGAAGATGCTAGACTCGGCTCTGGTAAGAACCAGGCATCACACACTGTCCTTGGCCCAGGATCTATGGGCCTCAGAAGTCTAGGACCTCTGAAACCCTCAACTCCCAGGAGCCTTAGAATCACAGGTTTCAAGCCATAGGATTCTAGAGCCAGTTAGCTATTGGGATTGTTGTTGGCATTGTTATTTCAAAAGCCAAACCTTTTTGTGCTTCAGTCTCCCCATCTGCAAAATGGGAATAGCGATAGACCCTGCTTTGTGGAGTTTTTGTGGAGATTAAACGAGGCCCTGCCTGGGAAGTTTTCAGACTAGTACTAGGTGCCTAGAAACCACTTTAGAAGGTATTATTATTTCTATTATTATTTAAAAATTTGTTTGTCTTTTTGAGGGGGAGGGGCAAAGGGAGAGGGAGGAAAAGAGTCTCAAGCCATCTGCACACTCAGCGTGGAGCCCAACAGGAGGCTCGATCTCAGGACCCTGAGACCATGACCCGAGCCAAATACAAGATTTGGATGCTGAACCGACTGAGCCACCCACGTGCCCCTATTTCTATTTTTATTGACAAGGTTTTTGGACAGGGTAGGACAGGGTTTATTTATTTATTTTTTAAAGATTTTATTTATTCATTTGACAGAAAGAGAGATCACAAGTAGGCAGAGAGGCAGGCAGAGAGAGAGGGGGAAGCAGGCTCCCCACTGAGCACAGAGCCCAATGCGGGGCTCGATCCCAGGACCCTGAGATCATGACCTGAGCCAAAGGCAGAGGCTTTAACCCACTGAGCCACCCAGGTGTCCCTAGGGCAGGGTTTAGAAGCTGAGAGTCTACTGACAGTTCATGGTGGAGGAAAGACCTGGGTTCTGTTCCAGACTCCATTCCGTACTGGCTCTGTCACCTTTTTTTTTTTTTTTTTAACACTCTCTCTCTCTCTCTCTCTCTCTCTCTCTCTTTTTTTTTTTTTTAAGATTTTACTTGTTTATTTGTCAGAGAGAGTGAGAGAGGAACACAAGCAGAGGGAATGGGAGAGGGAGATGCAGACTTCCCGTTGAGCAAGGAGTCTGACACAGGGCTCGATCCAAGGACCCTGGATCATGACTCAAGCTGAAGGCAGATCTGGCTTAATGACTGAGCCACCAAGGCACCCCAGCTATGTAACCTTTGTATGAGACACTGTACTTCTCTGGGACTCTGTCTACTCAAATGTATAAAAAAGCAGATTGGAATCTCAGGATTAAGAACCAGATTTTTTTTTTTCTCCTGATTTTGCAACTGATAGAGAGTTGTAAATGAAAGAAACCTTCATTCGAACTGTCAAGGAAGATTTATTTATAAGTTCAGGGAACTGACAAGTTTGAGGGGAGGGCTTTAGGCCGGGCTGGATCAAGTTACTCAAGTGGTGTTGGCAGGAAGTTGTGCCCCTCTGCTTTTTGAGTCTGTTTTTCTCCTTAGGGGCTTCACTCCCAAGTAGAGATGCCCTCCTGGGTGTGTATAGGGTGTGTGTGCGTGTGTGTGTGCTTGTGCGTGTGTGCACAGCAAAGTGGTTACCAGCACCCCCACGTGAATCCCACCAACTCACTGACTCAGGGCATAAAAGTATCTAATTTCCCCTAGTTTAAGCCGAAGTCCCAGGTTAAGATGCTCCTTGGGGCTTCCCCACACCTGTCACTGAGACCAGGGGGCTGGAACATTCTGATTGGCCAGGCTGGGTCACCTGGCCACCCCTGGTGGCCTCCATCTTCCCACTTTCCTCTCCTCTCAGCGCTTCCAAGCCATGGAGGAGACCCACCTGCGGCACATGAAGGCACTGCTAGGCTCCTATGCCCACTCGGTGGAGGACACCCACGTGCAGATTGGGCAGGTGAGTGGCACCCATGGTGGGAGGCAGAGCAAAGGATACCAGGCAAGGGGCCCTGGTTGTGTCTGGTTACACACTTCCTTTACCTGGTCCAGGTGCATGAGGAGTTTAAGCAGAACATCGAGAACGTCAGCGTGGAGATGCTCCTGAGAAAGTTTGCAGAGAGCAAGGGCACAGGCCGAGAGAAGCCTGGTAAGTTGGGACATCCATGGGTGTCGGCTCTGGAGCCACAGCTGCAAGGAAAGAACAAGACTCAGGGCACCTGGGGGGCTCAGCCAGCTAAGCATCTGCCTTGGGCTCAGGTCATGATCCCGGGCTTCTAGGATTGAGCCCTGTGTTGGGCTCCCTGCTTAGCGGGGAGCCTGCTTCTCCCTCTCGCTCTCCTTCTGCTGCTCCCCCTGCTTGTTTTCCCTCTCACTCTCTTTCCATGTCAAATAAATAAATTAAATCCTAAAAAAAAAAAAAAAAAAAAAAAAGGAACAACACTCAAGAGGCAGGGGACTGAACTTTCCCGCACCTTGGTATCCTCATCAGAAAAATGGGCTGATGGCAAATTTAATTCCGCAGCCCACACAGAAAAAGGATTTGATGTCCCATTTTTTTAAAAGTATATTTTAATTATCTCTACACCCTACATCGGGCTCCAACCATGACCCCAAGATCAAGAGTCACGTGCTCTTCCAACTGAGCCAGCCAGCAGTCCTTTGATGCCCCATCTTGTATGTAAATCTCTTACAACCAGGTATGGGAGAGGCCTTGAATGCCACCTGTTCATACTTTACCCTGAGGGCCTGAGGGAGCCATTGAGGATTATTGAGCAAAGGGCCAATTTGAAAAAAATGTCCAGATGAGGGGTCGGGGAAGGATTGAGCTCAAAACTTTTGGGGTCAGATCTGGGTCTGGGTCTTTTCATCATTGCTTGCTGTGTGACCTTGGATGCTTGTCTTGACTTCTCTCAGTTTCTTCATCGGTAAATTGGGGATGATAATAATCCACATCTAATGAAGTTATGAATATTTAGTAATTTGATGCAGGTAAAGGGAAAACTGAAAAAAATTTAAAAATTAAAAAATAAAGGGTGAACTGTGTCCCTAACATACAGGAGGCATTCAATAAATGCTGGTATACAGTTTCTGTCCCCAAGTCAACCACAAACAACTATCTTTAACCCTTCCTGTCTCTGTAAGTCGGCCCTAGCCCAGGTTGTATCTCCTGGTGTGGGGCCTCACTCTTGCTTTTCATTGGCCCCAGATCTGTCACACCCTGCTCCTGCTCACATACCTTCCATGGCTCCCCATCACCTTTGAAGAGAGTCCCAACCCTTCATCTTGGCACTGCGGTTCAGCCCACTGCACAGACTCATTGTCCATCCCCTGACCCACTCAAGTGCCTGTGAGAATTGCTAGAAATAGGAAAAGTAACTCAGGCATAATCCCCTCCGGTCCATCCCACAGTGGGACCAGAACCCGTGGCCCACCCCCTCATGACTATCTCTGGGGCTTGTTCAGCATCTCAGCTTGTGCACTGGATCCTGACTGGCCTTGAGCTCAGACCCAGGTACCATCGTGACTCCCAGAGTGCGCTGCTCTCCTACCCAGGCCCGGTCTCCCAGCCAGGCTGAGTTTCTCAATCTCTTCTATCTCAGGGCCTCTGGATTTTGAGACATACAGCGCAGCTGCCCTGCAGGAAGGCAAGTACGTCTGGGCCTGGGTGCCCAGGCTGGACGGTGGGGTTGAGCGAGGCAGATCTGAAGGGGAAGGGGGCACCCCCAGGGCTCAGCGGCACCCCCTCATCTGTTCTCAGCAATGAAACGTTTGCGGGGAGCCAAGGCCTTTCGCCTCCCAGGACTGAGCCGGCGGGAGCGGGAGCCACCTGCAGCCGTGTGAGGAAGCACCCCCCTGCCCAGCCCTGGCCCAGGCTAGCCCGGGATCCCTTCCCCCTTCCCCCTTCCCAGGCTAGCCTATCCTAGAGTTTCCCTGCAGAGGGTACCCCAGGAGAACCTCTATCCCAGGCTAGCTCAATATTCCCACTGCCCAACCTAGTCCAAAATTCTTCCTTTGCCACGGCTAGCCCTATCATTTCCCTGCCAAGGCTAGCCCCTACACCCCCTACTCTTTCAAGCCAGCCCTCCGTACTAGCTCCAGGGTTCCTCCCCTGCCAAGCTGTTTGAGAACACCCTGAGCTCAGTTAACTTCAGACTCAGTGCCCCACACCCCCACCCCAGGCAAACCCCTGAGCCCCATCACCTGGGGGACTAGCTGAGGACAACATGGCAGCCCAAGGGCCATGTCCACCGTTGGGCGTTGGGGGCATGCAGATGAGGTGGGAGAGCTGACCTGAACATCTCTTTCTCCACCTCCAGAGACTCCCTGGAGCCCGATTCAGGGGTGAGTACCATGGAGGGGCCAGGCGGGGCTGCACATGGGAGGGGTTCGGTCTCACCTCGGGCTCCCAAGCCTGGAAGCCAAGCCTGGAGCTCAAGGGGCTTCATCTCATCTCGGCTGCAAACTCCCATGAGCCGCGTAGGAGGGACTAGCATCCCCACTTAGCTTCAATTTGTGGGTTTAGTCTCACCACCTCAGGATAGGCAATGGTGTACTCTGTTCCCTCAAGAACCTGGCCTCCCCAGGGAAAGCGGTTGTTGCCATCGGGGCTGTTTTCAGGGCACAGAGATGGGAGGGGGCGTGGCGGGGTGAGCGGGGAGGTCCTGTAGCCTGGAGCCTGACTCACTGCTTATACCCCTAGACGTGTCCAGAGGTGGATGAAGAAGGTTTCACTGTCCGGCCTGATGTGACCCAGAACAATATCCTCCTGGTGCCCCTGGGGTTGGGGGGCCAACTGTCGGCACAGCAGGGACAAAGCTCGGCCCACAGGAATCCTTCTCTATGTCCCTCCTGCGGGGAGCCTGCGGTGTAGACAGAGTAGAATCAAATAAAGACACCTGCTTTGTGGGGTCTGGGCTGAGCAAGAAGGAGTGAGGGGCAACCCAGAGAACTTCCTAGAGGAGGGGGGACCAGTGTTGGGGTTTAGAATCTGAATGAGAGTTTGGGGTTTGCTTGTGCAAAGACTTGGAGCAAAAACACCGTTGGGCAAGACCAGGGTGACAAGTAGGGAGAGTCGGGATCCTGTAGGGCTTTGAAGGGTGTGAGTAGGAAGGGGCGGGTTTGAGGGCTGAGCTGAGGGAGACCCCCATGCTGGGATCAGCTTGGCCCCTTGACTGTTGCGCACGCACGGTGGAGCCCGCCCGCTTTTCCTCCAGTGACTCGGACTTCGATGATGAGGAGCCCCGCAAGTTCTATGTGCATATCAAGCCCGCCCCTGCCCGGGCCCCCGCCTGCAGCCCCGAGGTGGCTGCTGCCCAACTCAGGGCCACGGCCGGCAGCCTCATCCTTCCTCCTGCCCCAGGGGTGAGGCATGGGAGGGGTGTTCTGGTTCGGGCAGGTGGGGCTGGCGGGACGCACCTGGCCTGATGCCACCCACTTTGTCCACAGGGCACCATGAAACGCCACTCTGCACGTGAGCAGCCTGTTAAGGGGTCTTTGGTTTGGGGAGGAGCACGTGGAGGGGAGGCTGGGCCTGGAGCGTGAGTGCGGGGTTGAATCCCAGCTCTACTGTGTGATTTGGGGCAGGCTGCTTACCCACTCTGACCCTCAGTCTCTTCCAGAAAATGGGGTCATTATGTGAATTAAAAGAGCTGAAGGAAGGAGCTGGGGCCGGGAAAGAAGCCAAAACCTGGAGACAGATTGGCTTAGGCTCAAACTGCTCTCTGCCTGACTTGCTGGTCACCTTGGGCGGCTGGCTGGATGGCCCCAAGCCTTAGTCTCTTGTTCTGTGCCAGCAGGGATGAAGGGGTGGGTGGGTGGAGGGGAACAGTAGACAGGGTGACAGGAAGGCTCAGGGAGGTACATCTCTTGTAGGGGATGCTGCCAAGAAACCACAGAGGCCTCGATCTGCCCCGAGAGCCAGCAGGTGGGTCCTACAGGGGTGGGACATCCGGCCAGCATTGAGTGGGGAGGTGGGGGTCACCCCCAACTCCTCTCTCCTCCTCTCAGCCTGGCAGGGAGCTGAGAGTATGCTGTTTTTGAGGAACCACTTAGTCATTCATTCAGTGAACATTTATTGAGCACCTGCTGTGTACTCGTGCTACTCTGAGTTCATAAACGTATGCCCAAGACAGGTCTTCCTTCTCAGATTTGCACTGTAGTGGCTCAGATTTTAGGAACAGCAAATAAGTTAGAGCATGTTCCAGACTTCCAGGTGCTGTGAAGAGATAGAGCGGGCGATGTGGTGGAAGGTACCAGTGGGCAGCTTCAGCTGAGAAAGCAGAGGCTGCTCTGCCGTGGGGGGCAGGGGGACTTTGAGCTGAGCCTCAAAGAGAGCAAGATGTGACCCCAGGGAGAGACGGGGACACTGGGAGCTCAGGAGTAAGAACAGCCTTGTGCAAAGGCCCTGAGGGGAAAGGAGGCATAGGAAAGACAGAACCCATCCCTCCTGTCCACTTCGTCCACAGCTGTGCTGAGAAGCTGCAGTCAGATGAACAGTTTTCCAAGAACCTCTTTGGGCCGCCCCTAGAGTCGGCCTTTGACCACGAAGACTTCACAGGTGATGGGGGCTTTAGGGACACAGGCTTGGCTAGCAGGAGGCTGGGTGGGGCCATTGCCAGGGTAGACGGGAGGGTGGGCCAGGCGGGAGGGAGCATTTGGGGGTCCTGTGTGGGTCACTGAGAATGCAGACTGGTCAATGGGATGGTGGGCGGAGCCACAGCGTGAGTGGGCGAGGCCTTTGTAGTAGTGTAAGCGACTGTGGGTGGATGGGCGGAGCACCAGTGGAGATGGAAGCGACCAGAGGGCGTGGCCTGAGGGGGGCGGGGTGAGGCTTTGAGTGGGCGTGGCCCGCAGGAGGAAGGACGGGGCCTCCATGTGGGCGGGGTCTGGAGCTGGCACGACCACCCCCGCCCCCCCTCCAGGCTCCAGCAGCCTCGGCTTCACCTCCAGCCCCTCACCTTTCTCCTCCTCGTCGCCCGAGAATGTGGAGGACTCCGGCCTGGACTCGCCATCCCACGTGGCGCCTGGCCCCTCCCCGGATTCCTGGGTCCCCCGCCCGGGCACCCCACAGAGCCCACCTAGCTATAGGGCGCCGGCCTCCGAGTCAAGGGGGACACGGTCCCTGCCAGCATCGGACTCGCCACAGCCCCTCGCCCCATCCCCGGGTCCCTGGGGGCTGGAGGCTGTGGCTGGACGAGGTGAGTCCAGGAGTTAGAGTTATCAGAGCCCTGGGTGGGGAAGACTGAGCGCCTGCTCAGTCCAGGGCCTGAGCCGGGTACTGGAGACACAGCCCAGAACCCTCACCCTTGCAGGGACAGTAATGAGATGGCTATTTAAAAAGGTGAAGGTGGCAGGTGCCTGGTGAGGGCTCAGAAGTTTGGAACCTCCCTGAGGAGTGATCTCTGAGCTAAGATTTGATAGAAGTGAGGAAGGAGCCATTTAGATGTGGGGGAGCGGGGGCCTACACACACACACACACACACACACACACACACACACACACGCAGGAGGCAGGTCCTGTGCAAAGGCCCTGGGGTGGTAGCGGACTAGGCGGGATGAGGCTGGAACAGAGGGATGACAGGGAAAAGGAGAGAGCGGAGGGGGATGGGTCCAAGCAGGGCCTGGTAGTCTCTGGGAGTGATGTGAGTGTTACCCCTGGCAAGGGCTGAGCCACAGAGCAGAGGGCTGTGAGCAGAGCAAGGGCCCGTGACTCAGATTTCGGGAGCTCTCTATCCAACTGGGAGGTGGGAGCTGGAGACCAGGGAGGTGGGAGAGCCCAGGGAAGTCGTGATGGGGTAACAGCTGGGGACAAGGGGGCATGCAGACACGAGGTGGGGGAGGGGCGGGGATGGCAGGGGTGGGGTGGGGGAGGGGTGGGGGTGGGAGGATCAGGGTGGAGTGCTTGAGGGCATCGGGGCATTCTTCCAGGGAGGGGCAGAGGGCCTGGGAATATGGGGCAGAAGTAGCTGGAGTGGGGGCATGTTGACACTGGGCCTTTAGATGTCAGGTGGCCAGTAGAGCCCAAGTTCAGGGGAGGCCAGATTGGAGCATCCCATGGGCAGCTGTGTGAAGCAGGAAGGGAAGGCGCCCATGAGAGGAGAGGGCCCAAGGTGAGCTGGAGCAGGGCTGCAGGTTGGGAGGAAGAGGTGAGTTGGGAAAGGGGGAGTCTGAATCAGTGGGCCATGACCCCATGAGGTCCCTAGCAGTGGCGACAGGGGTGCTTGGCACCATCCTTGATTAGAGAAAGAGCCCGCTGGGAGCTGGATCAAGGGAGGCCCCCTGGGAAGTAAGTGTCGAACATGCGTGCAGATAGTCAAGTGGGGTTGTTTGAGCTTCCCTGTAGAACTGGGGTTCTCCACCAGGCCAGTTCTGCCCCCTAGGGGGCACTAGACAATGTCACCCCTGATCTTGGATTGTCACCACTAGGGGGATGGTTACTAGAGATACCTGGCGGGTGGAGGCCGGGAATGCGGGTCAGCACTGCACAGTGCAGAGGACGGCCCCCCAGAAACTGCCCGGGTCCCCGGTGTCAGCAGTGCTGTTGAGAAGCCCTGGGTAGAGAGGAGCACCCGTGGGGTATAGGTAGGAGGGGACGGGTCCGAGCAAGCATCCGTAGATGGAGCAGAACTGGGCACCTGAGTGTTAGGTAGTGATTATACTCGCAGAGAGGATGAAGGTCACGGAATCACTGATGTTAGATAAAAACCCTCTGCCCCTGCCCCCCCACCCCGGGGCCATTCCCCTCCCACCCCCAACCTCCAGAGCACCCAGCTCTGGCCTACGTATCCCCAGGAATCCCTTATTGGGCCATCAGTCTGGTGCCTGGGAAGCTCAGGGCCGCGGATGACCTCTGCAGTCCTGGCCGGCACTCTCTCTGCAGCCCCAAGACTTCAGACCCAGGGGGTCTCCCCCAAATAAGCCCGACTGCCAGTTTTGGGAAGAAATTCCTTCTCTGGGAAGGCCTGAGAGGCCCATGGCAGCATCTCGGCTGTACAAATGTCTGTCTCTCGCTCCCTCCCCAGACCTGGTGCCCGGGCCTGCTGACCCTGCAGCCAGAGAGGGCCTGGCAGCGCCCCCCCGGAGAGCCCGCGCCAGGAAGGTGTCCTGCCCACTCACGCGCAGCAATGGCGACCTGGTAGGGTGAGGGGGCACGGCTGGATCCGGCCTGGGGCGGGGGGCACCTCTGGTGGGGGCGGGCAGCATCAGGGCACTGCTCCCAGGCGATACAGCCTGGCCTGTCTCCCTCCCCAGTCCCGGTCTCTGAGCCCCTCCCCGCTGGGCTCCTCCACCACCAGCACCCTTTCGGACCGGCCCAGCTTCTCATCACAGACGGCACACGGTATGGTGGGGCGGCCCCGGGCCCCTTTCTGGGCCTCACTCTCACCCTCTCTGGCCTGGGTGGGTGGCTAAGTGAGGCATTGGAGGCCCTGCTGGCAGATGGTGGGTTCTGGAGCCTGGGACCTGTGCCCACTGTGTCCCTATTCCCTCCCCCCAGCCCTACCAGGAGTCTCCCGGGGACCCAGTCCTGTGGTCCTGGGCTCCCAGGATGCCCTGCCTGTAGCTACCGCCTTCACTGAATACGTCCACGCCTACTTTCGAGGCCATAACCCCAGGTACGCAGTGATGGGGGGACAGTGCCAACAAGGGCAGGGACAAACAGGGCTCTCTGGGGCCTCTGGATCTAGGTTTCAGGAGAGACAGACTTGAGGTGTGTTTCTTGACCTGCTTTACCATGGACAGGCCTGGAACTCTGAGCCAAGCAACCGGGCCCCTGTCGCGAGGGCAGTGGGAACCACAGAGGGTGTTAGAGCAGGGCGAGGCCTCGTTGTAAGCACAGGTTAGAGCAGCTCCTCTGAGGTCGCTCTGCACATCACACTGAAGGGAGCGGGACCAGAGGCCAGGCCCTTGGAAGGCTGGGTCAGGGGTGAGTTGAGGGGCCAGGAATAATCTGAGAGCAGCGCCCAGCAGGGAAGACCTTAAGATCAAACCACAAATAGGCCTGAAACCCCAGGTCACAACAGTTCTAGAACTGAATGTTTTGCTTTGAGCTTCCTGGTGGCCTAGGGGTGAAGAGAGTTAGGGACTGGGCTCCTTAAGCCCAGTGTGGTTTCTTCCTGGTGCCTGGATTGCTGTCCAGGCAAGGACACAAGGAGGAGACGTTGGGAGTAAGAATGCTGGGCACGGTCAGGGCCTCGCTGCTTCTGCGGGGCTCGGGAGCCGCTGGCTGTGGTGGGGCCAGGAGAGAGGGGAGGATGAGGTGCCGGCAGGGCCTGGAGCCAACACCGGGTCTCCTCACTCCCCCACCCCCCAGCTGCCTGGCTCGAGTAACCGGGGAGCTGACCATGACCTTCCCGGCTGGCATTGTGCGTGTGTTCAGCGGGACCCCGCCCCCACCTGTCCTCAGCTTCCGCCTCGTGCACACGTCTGCCATCGAGCACTTCCAGCCCAATGCCGACCTGCTCTTCAGGTACTGTAGGAGGAGTGGTGCGAGGTCAGAGGCAGGGGGTCCCAGAGGCTGGTGGGGTCCGGGAGCTCCCTGCCTGTGAATTCCGGCTCTGTCTCCCCGTATGTGCTGTGCTGGCCCTGGGCAAATCACTCTCCCTTCCTGATCTCGCTGTACTCTTCTTCTTCACTAACCCCCAGCCTCCCAACCCCCTGTTGGGGCAGGGGGAGGCATGCTTTACTGGGCCCAAGGTGAGCCAGGCAGTTCGCCTCTAGGAAGCCCATGGCATAGGTGGGATGCAGGGGGGACTTGGGTCTCCCAAGGGCTGGGGTGATTATTGCCGGTCTCTGTAGTGACCCCTCCCAGAGCGACCCTGAGACCAAAGACTTCTGGCTCAACATGGCGGCCCTGACCGAGGCCCTGCAGCGCCAGGCAGAGCAGAATCCGACCGCCTCCTACTACAACGTGGTTTTGCTGCGGTACCAGGTGGGCCACGGGGAGGGGACAGGGCAGAGGGTTCGGGGAAGGGCTCAGGGCCGGGCAGGGTGAGCAGGCGGCAGACTAGGAGACCAGGGTTAAAGAAAGTAGAGTGTGTTGGGGCAGGAGTGTGGGGGGGTGGATGTAGTTAGTGGGGTTAGGAGCTAGCTTCAGTTCGTGGGGGACTATTATGTAAATTAGGAGAGGCCCCATCCCAGCAGCCCGAGGGGCACCTGGCCTACCCTTTTGGAAGGAGGCGCTCTCCTGCCCTCTGCTGGAAACGTGGAGTCCTACGCACTCTGATCGAAACTGGGAAAGAGGGAAGGCGCTCCAAGGAGTGGCGCAGGCAGTGGAGAGACTTCGAGGATGGGTCTGAGGGGGGTCGAAGAGTGCCTGGCGCAGCAGGGCAGCAGGACAGGATGGCCTAAGCTGTGTCCCCTGTCGTGTTCTTGCTGCTCCCAGTTCTCCCGCCCGGGGCCCCAGTCTGTGCCCCTACAGCTGAGCGCCCACTGGCAGTGCGGGGCCACCCTCACTCAGGTCTCGGTGGAGTACAGCTACCGGCCCGGTGCCACGGCGGTGCCCACACCGCTCACCAACGTCCAGATCCTGCTGCCTGTCGGGGAGCCTGTGACCAACATTCGCCTACAGCCGGCCGCCACCTGGTGAGGGCGTGCAGGAGGCCGAAGGAGGCTCTGTGGTGACCCTAGAGCCCTCCCAGACCTCTCCTTGATGCAGCAGCTGAAGGGTCCACCATAGGTCTGACCATTCAGTCGTGAGCGCCCCTTGCTTAGAGCTAAGGGGGACGTTATTAGCAGTAATAATATTGGACACCAAGAGCTGCCTGTGTGTCAGGCGTGTTCCACGGGCTCTACATACATGGACTGGCCCAGGGCTTTTAACAAACCCTTAAGGTGGGGACCACTGTCATTCCATTTGTGGACAGGGAACTGAGGCAGAGGGAGCCTAAGTCACTTATCTGTGGTCACACCAGGATTTGAACCCAGCCACCCACTTTCTGCCCTGGGCTATTAGTCCCCCCACGTTGCCTTTGTTTTGTACAGAAGGTAAAACCTGCCACAAAGAAGCCAGATTTGAAGGACAAAATGCATTATCTAAAAATGCTGCAAGTCTGTGGGGTCCTCAGGGGCCAGCTCTCCATACCCCACATCCATTTTACAGATAGGGAAACTGAGGCAAGGGAGAGGACCTGGCTTGCTGGGGTCAGGGAGCTGAGAGGTGACCCAGCTGGGACCCTCACCTCCCAGTGTCCTCTCTGGAAGAGACCTGACCAAGCTTTTCTTGATGCCAGGAATCTGGAGGAGAAGCGACTCCTTTGGAAGCTACCAGATGTGTCCGAAGCAGGGGGTGAGTTATGGTTGTGCATGAAAAATCACAGGGGGTTTTGGGTGGGAGGGGCTTGTTTAAAATGGGGGAGAATTGGGGATGTGCTGGGGAGAAGTGTAGAGAGGGAGGAAAGCTTTATTAAAAGGGCTTTGGCAGAGCTGTGGGAGAGGAAATCTGGGGGCAGCCACAGCAGGTACAAAGGCCCTGCAGCAGAACTCTTTTGTAATTTACACATGACCCCCAAGGAGCCAAAGGAAAATGGTACAGGGTCTCAAGAGGAGGTCCAGAAGAGACAGATAGGGGCCACAGATCAAAGGGCTTGGGAAGCACCCAGGTCCCAGTGGGACTGAGGGTGGGGCTGGGGCATTGCTGACCTCAGGCCTCCCCAGGCTCTGGCCACCTATCCGCCAGCTGGGAGCCATGCTCGGGCTCCAGCACACCCAGCCCTGTGGCCGCTCAGTTCACTAGCGAAGGGACCACTCTGTCGGGCGTGGACCTGGAGCTGGTGGGCAGTGGCTACCGCATGTCGCTGGTGAAGAGGAGGTTTGCCACAGGTATTCCCCCCGCCTCCCCCTGTCCTGCCACTGACCACCTCTGAAGCCAGGACCGTGCCAGGCCCTGAGCCCCACCCCCTGCTTCTGCCAGGGTGCAGGGCGTTGGGGTGGGAGGGGGGCGGGGGACAATGTTGGGGAAGGCTAGTGGGGGTTGGGCCCTGGAGGCCCCTGATGGTGGGCACAAGTGGGGAGGATCAAAGGACCCCCGTAGGGCGTCCTCGTGGGGACCCAAGGCAGGGAGCTGAAGGTACACAGCCACACTGCCCCCACCCCATTCTCCTGGGGCTGCTGGCACCTGTGGGGTGTTTGGAGGAAGATCTGGAGATCTCAGGGTACGGGCAAGGGACGCCCCTCCCTTCGTCTCACGGGTACCGCCCCTGCAGGGATGTACCTGGTAAGCTGCTGAGCCAGCAGAGGCCCCCAGCTCTGCACTGAGTCCTGGTGCTCGCTGACTGACCCCTGCCTTCCTGCCGGACCCTGGGATCCCACCCCGGCCTCCCTCGGGGCCCTGACTCCATGGGGAGGAGCCCCACACCCAGCCTGGCAGAGCCGGGGCAGGGGGGTCACTCCTGCTCAAGCCAATTCCCACGTGGGTCCTTGGACTTTTAATGTTCTTTGAATAAACTTTATTTTCTAATAAAATAAGGAAGCCTTGTCCTGCTCCAGGAAATTTCCTTCACATCACCAGAGAGGAGAGGAAGACAGATGTGTGGGAAGATGTAAGATCCCTAACGTCCCCCATCGCCCCCACCTTCCCCCCCATCCCTGTGCAGGATGGCACCAGGGGCGAGAAAAAGCCAGACACGGGCACCCCAAGCTCCACGGACATCCGAGCTCTGTGGGCTTAGTGCTGAGCTGGTGGAAGCGACAAGGACTAGAGGAATCCAGAGCAGGAGTAGGACGCTTCCTAAGGAGAAGACATTATGAATAGGGCTCTGAAGTATGAGTAAGAGTTTGTGAGATGGGGATGGGCATCCCAGGCGAAGGAATAGGGAGCTATGAGATTTGAGAGAAATCTATTAGTCCACAAACATTGATTGACTACCTGTGGCAGCTGGGACATGGCTGTGAGCAGGACAGAGCTCTTGGAAGCCGTGAGGCTATGAAGCCAGAAGGCCTGGGTTTAGAGCTCGCTTGGCCACCAGGGCCACTTTGAGCGAGTGACTCAACCTCTCTGGCCTCAGTTTCCTCATCTCCAACTCACCTCACCTGGGGGTCTGTCGGGAGGTTGCATACCTTGGAGAGCACCTGATGCAAAAGGAGCCCCCAACAGTGGGAAGCCAGGGTCGGGGGGCAGGGGTGTTTGTGCGGACAAGGGATGGCCTGAGTGGGGCCCAGGACAGGTAAGGCAACCAGCACACTCTGGTGGGAAGCAGCTCTGAGCCCAGTGGACAGTCCTAGATCCCAATGGACACGTGAGGACCCTGAGCCCCACGAGGGTGCCCGAGCACCAAGCCGGGGCCAAGTGGAGCTGGGGTGGTGGGGGGTGGGGGAGCAGGCAGCAGGATTTGACCTTCACTCTAATTCTCCAAAGACAGAAGAGCTCGTGAGGGGTCAGGGGGAGGGTCTGGCTGTGCCTCAGTTTCCTCATCTGGGAAATGAGGGGAGATCCTCTACCTGGGAGGTGTCTGGGAAGCATCCACAGTGCACGTCAACACTGCCTGCGTGAACAAAGAGGGTGGTCCAGGCAGCGAGCCCCTGCCCACCCCCCCGCCCCTGCACGCTTGCTTTCCTGCCTGGAAAAGATCCAGTGCAAGGACCCGGGAGCCAGCCGAGGTGGGTCCCCCCTTCCCCACCCTGCTTGCAGGGGGCCTCAGCTCCTCAGCTGTAACGTCAGATCAGCTGTGGTTCCCTGAGCTCGTGGGCCCATAAAGGAGCCGGAATCACACGTCTGAGCCAGTGGGAGTGTGCCCTCCATCCTAAGTCTGCACGTGTGTGTGCGTATGTGCGTGCCCAGGGACCTCCTTGCCTCCAAGGCGGTCCCTGTACCTGCCCTATGGGGCTGAGTGACTGGGGTGCCACCTCCCTGCCATGGGCCACTGTATGACAGGACACAGTCTTATCGGTCCACCACATCCTAGTGGCTTTAATTTGCCTTTCTTCAGGTCACAGGTGAGGTCAGGTACATTTTAAAACACAGAAGGCATTTCCTAGCTGTGGCGCTCTAATGGCCAGGCCTCCCGGAGCTGGTGTGACTTGTGTCTTTCTCTGGAGGACTATTCCCAGGAAGGGAGAGTCCCAACAGAGAGGACGGGACCCCCGCCTAACTGGCCAGCTGTGGGCGGGCAGGCTGTCCGGTGGTGGCTTGCGATGCCCTGGTCTCCTCCTATGCCTGGGAAGCTCCCAGACCTCCGTTTGGGGCACGAAGCAATGACGTCACTTGCCTCGGAGGCCACCCCCAGTTGGTGGACAGCCTTGTTGGGTTTTCTTTTTTTGAGAGGAAATTCAATTAAAGTGACAGGAAATGAACCACTGAAAGTGATTAATTCGGTGGCACATGATGCATTCACCGTGCTGTGAGGGGACCACCTCTGTCTGGTTCCAGAACTTTGCCATCACCCCAGAAGGAGACCCCGTCCCCATCAGCTTCCACTCCCTCTGCCCCTCTCCCAGCCCCTGACAACCACCCACCTGTCTACTTCCGGTCTTTATAAACTCACCTGTCCTGGACATTTCATATAAATGCAATCATGCACCGTGTAGCATTTTGTGTCTGGCTTCTTTTACTCCCCAGCATGTCAGTGCTTTATTTCTTGTTATGGCCGAGCAAGAGTCCACTGTAGGTGTCATTAACCTTAAATTCAAACAGCCGGTTATTTTACCAGCAAAACGGGTTTCTTTGGGAAGAGCAGGGGAACCACAATTTGGGACGTGCAGGCTGCATGTTCATGTTCAATAAACAAAGGAGAGGCGCGTTATTTTATGAGAAGGAGGAAGTTGGGAGGGCTTGTTTTGAATTAAAGTCTGTCGGAGAGAAGCAGGAGTTCAGGGTGATGATGGTTCGTCATTGGCTGAGTTACTGGGGTAGTCAGTTTCTTGTAGGAGATGCCGTGTCCTGTTTCCTGTTGGAGTCTGTAGATCATGATTCTTTCCTTGTTGAGAATTCTTCCTTTGGGGCTTTCACACTTCTCCTGTTGCGGAAAATAATCAGACCTGCCAGAAACCAAGTGCACTCAGAGAAGTAGGAGAACTGGGATTTATTTTACGCCAGCGGACCCAGATGAGCTCGAGCTCCAGGTTCTGGGCCCCTGGCAATGGAGTTATAGGGATTTTATAGGGTGCTGCAGGCAGTCAGGTTCCAAGGGCTATGCTGACTGCTGGTAGGTAGGTTTAAACTGGGGAAGTGGGGGCTGCTTTAGGCAAGAACAGTAGAGCAGGGAGCCTATGGCGGGAAGCCTGTTTACAGAAGCAGAAACAGCTGGTTATCATTTGCTCCCAATAGGGGGCTTCTGGTTATCTCTTGCTTATTATTAGTAATTTTCCATCTTCTGGGGCCCCCTGGCCTGGGCCTCTGGGGGTAATGTTCCTATTCACTTCCTATAATTGACGTTGAGAGATAGGACTCCCCTACTCACTTTTTGTGAGGTCTCTCTTTATTAATTTTCACATTTCCCCATTTGAATCAAGCTCTTTCTTCAAAGGCAAGAGTGGGGTTTTCTTGGAGCGGGTGGGTGGCTCTGTTGGTTAAGCATCCAACTCTTGATCTCAGCTCAGGTCATGATCTCAGGGTCATGAGATCAAGCCCCACATCCAGGTTTTGTGCTCAGAGGGGCATCTGCCTCTATCTCTCTCTCCCTCTCTCTCTCACACACACACACACACACACACTCTCTCTCTCTTTCTCTCTCTCTCTCTCTCTAAATAAGTAAATCTTAAAGGTCAGGTTTTCTTAGTTCAGAGACTTTGTATCCCTTGATGTCAGGAAGGCTCTTTTCTGGATGCCATGCCCCGTAACTACCCAAAGGTCAATTACACAGAATAGAAAACCACCGAGGTCACATTGGAGAAGCAAGAGTGGGTCTCAGGAGAACACTCGGGCATTTCCCATATGTGGTCCATATTTATCAAGATCGTAAGCACTGGAGATCATCTCCTTAGTAGGTACGTCATTCTTACAAAGGTTTGACAGGCAGCAGTTTCAGAAATCAAAAGTAACAACTCCAAACCGTATGATGGTTCTAAACCAGGACCCTAGATCTAAGAGTTGCCAACTAAAAATATTGATTGGCCCTAATCCAGATGGGAGAAAAGTTCTCTCAATGGAGCCAAACCCGGAGTCACATTCACATCCCTCTCCCAGAAGTCCCTGCTTAAAGGGGCCATGACAGCAGAATCCTGACTACTGCTGGAGTACCCTGAGGAATCATTTGGGGAAAATTGGGGATATGCATTTGGGAAGATACAGTGCAGGCATAAACCAGAGGTAGTAGCTAACGAATTTTTGGCAAAACAGCAAAACTTCAAACACATATTAAATGGTACCACTGGGTGCCTGGGTGGCTCAGTTGATTGGGCGACTGCCTTCAGCTCAGGTCATGATCCTGGAGTCCCAGGATCAAGTCCTGTGTTGGGCTCCCTACTCAGTGAGGAGTCTGCTTCTCCCTCTGACCCTCCCCCGTCTCATGCTCTCTCTTTCTCTCTCTCAAATAAATAAATAAAATCTTTAAATAAAAATAATAAATAGACGGTACCGTTACCTCCAAAGAACTGTTTGAAAACAAATGCTCTCAAATAACACAGCCTGCAAGTTTGCAAATTCTGACACCGTGAAGTCCTTTAACGGTTCACATGAAAGAAAAGACTTTGGTGAATTTTTTTTTTTTTTAGACTTTATTTACTTATTTGAGAAGGAGAGACACAGCAAGAGAGGGAACACAAGCAGGAGGAGTGGGAGAGAGAGAAGGCTTTCTGCTGAGCAGAGAGCCTGTTGCAGGGCTCGATCCCAGGACTTCAGGATCATGACCTGAGCCTAAGGCAGACGCTTAACAACTGAGCGACCCAGGCATCCTGACTTTGGTGAATTCTGAACCTTCTAACCCTTCAGAAAAAGCAAGTGAGGAGCACCTGGGTAGTTCAGATCATGATCCCAGGGTCCTCGTATCA